ACTTATGTGTCCAGGCTGAAGGGCAGGCACAGCTCAGTGTTTCAGAGCACAAGGTTCCAAGCCCTCAGGATGAAATCTCAGGCTTGAACACAACAGCCAACTGATTCTGCCTAGTTGTCTAATTTCATCTGCTATTTCACTGGGTTGTGGAAGACTTAAACAATGCAACCTGCATAAAGCACTGAAGAGAGTGCTGCCATGAGCACAGGGTCACGTACCTGTTTTACCTCATTTGAGAGTCAATTGACAGGCAGGTGAAGAGAGCTCAGTTTGCCTTTTGCTCATCTGTCATGGAAATCTCATCCGAAACACTTCCAGGAAAAAGACCAAGACACCATCCAGCCCTAAGTGCGTCACAGTTGGTCCCAGAACCAAACATCCACACAACTGATGGCAGACAGCAAGATATTTGTATGTAGTAACAGGTGAAACGGGAACTACTTGGGAAAATAAATTATTTGACGGCTCCTACTTGGGTATGTTCTTAAGAGTCTAAATCAGGGGTGGGCAAACTTTTTGACTCGAGAGCCACAATGGGTTCTTAAACTGGACCGGAGGGCCGGAACAAAAGCATGGATGGAATGTTTGTGTGAACTAATATAAATTCAAAGTAAACATCATTACATAAAAGGGTACGGTCTTTTTTTTTTTTTAGTTTTATTCATTTCAAACAGGCCGGATCCGGCCCGCAGGCTGTAGTTTGCCCACGGCTGGTCTAAATGTTCAAAACTAGATCCGAATTTCTAAAAGTTAGCCTCTGCTCTCTACAAAGGTTTAGATCCTGCTTTAAATTGGTTTCCTCTTAAAAAAAAACAATGGTTTCTTCTTTAGGAAAGTCTGTCTTTTGGGCACCATCTAAAAGTCTCCTCACCACATGAGTATAAATGGAAATTTCAAGGAGAAAGGACAGATTAGCCATATTAGGAGGGGAAGAAGGGAGTCAGAGCCAATATCTGGAAAATGTGAAGGTCATTCAGAGTTATTTAGGACTATTAGTTCTAGTGAAGATCTTAACCTCGTAGATGATTCAGGCCCCCCACCACACAAGAGCAAGGAACTAACCAAGAAGTGGGCGTTTGGTGTGGTATAGCCCAGCCAATGACAGGATTCTGGTGCGCACACCTCCCCATTAATGGGATCACCCACAAGAAAATTCAGTACGAATAATTTTCCTGACACCGTATTTTTAATAAGTTTCAGAATCTACTGCAGGTGCCTAAAAATGAAAAGTCAACACACAGTTGCCGTTTAGACAGTTTTGAAAACATACCAGTAAAAATGATGCAGTCATAGGTGTCAGATGTGTGTACAACAAAAATATGGTGAAAATCAGGGACTCCAAAGTGGAAAAATAACCTCACTCAGCAAGCATAACAAAGACTTTTTGAAAGGCATGTTTGTACTTAAATAAAAGTAGAATAACTAGGGTGAACATTCAGTCTATGGGACTATGCTCTCTCAGAAAAAGAATTTCCATGTTTCCACTGGGAGAAAAAGATTTGACTCTGCTTTTAGGCTTTTTCCCGCTCCTGCTTTATGTAGAAAGAAACTGAAAGGTGAAGAATGAGCTAATTTTGAAACAGATACTAACATCTTTCAGGCAATTATTTTAGGGGTTTCCAGATTTTCTCCAGATAAAGATATAATTTGAGAAACATAATCTAGTAAATTCAATGGGACCTGTCTCTTCTGAACTAGAGCATTTAATCACTTATTCAAGACCCTGCTGCTCTGCTTCCCATTAACATCACACAGTCTGTAATTACATCATTGACTGGTCTCACCAAAATGTGAAAACAAATTTCATACCTTCTTGGGGCAATGGTCAAATCTCCCACTGAATTAATGATCAACATTTTTGCCCATGAATTCACCATAGCATTGTCTATGATTCTGAGAGCTAAGTTGTCCTTATCTAATTTGCTGTTATGTAATACTAGAGGCTCGGTGCACGAAATTTGTGCACGGGGTGGGGAGGCCTCAGCCCAGCCTGCACCCTCTCTAATCTGGGACCCCTTGGGGGATGTCCGACTGCCGGTTTAGGCCCGATCCCTGGAATCGGGCCTAAACCGGCAGTCAGATATCCCTCTCACAAGCCTGGACTGCTGGCTCCTAATTGCTCACCTGCCTGCCTTCCTGGTCGCCCCTAACTGCCCCTCTCTGCCAGCCTGATTGCCCGTCACTGCCTCTGCATGCTGGCATGATCACCCCTAACTGCCCCCCCCTGCTGGCCTGGTCACCCCTAACTGCCCCCTGCTGCCGGCCAGGTCATCCCCCAACTGC